TGTTCTTCGATGATTACGTCTTTTTGTTGTTATCATAACGGTAAGGTTTATTCCTACAAGGTTTTTCGGCATTTAATTGAATCTTGTGAGTAACGATTGACAGCTTCCCGGTTTTTCTGAAAACAATGAAAAATTACTCACCACTTGCTGTATTTGCTTTACTTTCATGGTTCATTCAAATGGCTAAGGTCCACTTCAGGTGTCTCCACAGGTTCCACCACCCTCTGGTCCATCTCCACACCACGGAACTATCTTGAAAATTCAATTTGGCCCTCGCGGCCCTTAAAAGTCCATACCTAAAATAAGAGAAGTTTGCAGGTTTTCACCACAAAAATTAATACTTTGAGATTTTTCCTCTTTTACCTGTATGTTTAATGAAACTTTCCCGATGCAGTGACAGGTTTTTCCTGCCCGCTATAATTTCGTATTTTTGGTTTTAAAAGTCTTACCTAAAAATCTTTTTGAAGAATTTTCACTCATAAAATTTCCTTCTGCTCCTGTATCGATGAGGGCTTCTACTGGTACATCACCAACAGGACTTGTATAATTGGTACTGTGAGTTTTTTACGATGACCGTATTTAATGTCTATTTGAGGGTTTTTTAAAACTTCCGGGGTCTGGACCCTCCCTTTCACAGGCCCCTCTACTCGTTTAAAGCTTTCCTTTCAATCTGTGTCTTCTGGGTACGCGGATGTTTATTTTCAAATTTTTCTTTTTGGGCCTTGACCTTCGAGTTTCGATGAGCGTTAGCTTGATAGTTCTTTCCCCATATGAGCGATTTCCATTTCTGGTTTCCTCCTCCTTCGGGTACTTTGAGAATATGTTTCCCCTCTCGCTTCTTTCCGCTATTCTGCGATTTTGAAAACTTCACCGCCAATTCGAAGAGTTCCTGCAATGTGCTTGGGTTTCTAATTTCAAGTAGTCTTGGACAGCGGGTAACAATTTTGGTAATATTATTTCAATAATCTCCGCATCGGGGTTTCTTGCCATACAGCATATCCGTTAGCTTGATTTTTCGTAAAATAAGTCCGTCAATTGTGCTGTATCCCGTTGATAGAAACTATATAGCTCGGCTTCCAGCCGTGCGCGATCTTTTCACTATGGGGAAGGCCTTTACTAACGATTTTTTTGAAATTTTCAAATGTATACGTCGGCTTCCAAATTCACCTAGAAGAATTTGCCTATATTTTTCCACCATAGCGCGGCCTGTCCTCTTAGTGCTGATGTGGCGATAGCAACTTTTTGTCTTTCAGGCACAGGTAGAGCTGAAAGTGGTTTTTCTTTTCTATACCTTCAAAAATAAGGCCAACCGAATTTTTTCCGTCGAAATAGACGTTTGGCTTGATTGATGCTCTCAAAGTCTGGACCAGGTATCCAAATCCTTCTAACTGCGTTGTCATTTCTTGTGTTGTCCAGCGGCTTCCATCCAATTTTCGGCCATTTCAGTTCGATAAGTGTTCGGGCGCCAATATAACGTTGCGCGCCTCTAACTAGCACGCAACCAAGAGGTGACTGTGAAAGCTTGTAAATAAAGACAGAGTCTTATGAAGGGTTTAAGTCCCTTTTTATTCAACGTACTAAATTTACAATTGCGTCTCTTGACGCTACATACAAACTTGCCAACTCGGCAGTCAAATAAAATAATAACCTGAAAAGAAAATAAAGACAAGATTCTAACTACGAGGCTCTCTAAAATAACTAACTCACCGCGTTTTACAATACCGCTGCTAATTCAGCAGACTTGAAGCTCACTGGAACAATTACCACTAACTTCCCGCCAAGCACATAGGCCGCAACGCGGGGTTCTTCAATTTCTCGATAACTACCTCCGCGCTCGCTAAGTAAGAATAACTCTCTACCGAACTCGTTTCCTTCTATTTAAATCAGATACTTCCGCTGATAATTTGAATGCTTGCGCGTTCTACTCAATTTACATATTCTGGCATTGGCAGTTCCAGGGGAAAGTAAGGCTTGACAGGAAAGATAGTTTAAACTTAAAATAAATGTTAGTTAAAATAAATATAAACCCTACAATGTTATAGTTTTTTTACTAGGCGGGAATTAAACAAACAGTTTCCTTAGTATACTTTTAAATGAAGAGAAATAGATTATTTGATTTCTTGAATATAAAAAAAAGGAAAACACAATGTGAAATGAAACATGAAAACACGTTTATGCCTTTCATTTTAGGAACTACGCAGTTAAAACTGAATTTTAGTTATTTACTTAAGTTCAAATATTGAAATAGGCTGTATTTATGAAAATAAAAGTAATTCCACTACTTAATTTGTAAGAATAACTTTACGACTTTTGTTAAAATTAAAAAATAACTACAATATAAAACTCCTTCTCTTACATTGAAAGAAATATTTGTTTGTCCCACAGTATAATGCACCGCAATGAGTTTTTAGAAACTTCGACTGACTTTCCTGGAATTGACTTTCTATTATAAAATTTCCAAACAAATTTATTTACTTATTTAAATGCGGCAAAGAACTGAGGTCTGTCTCAATAAAAAGAATTCCATGAAGTTATATTTTATCTTAAAATCAGTTTTTCTTCCCCTGTTCGGGAAAGACTTTACTTTAATTCATCAGTGTTTTATAATATGCGAATTTTCAAGTTATCACAATGAAATTTTTAAATTCCTTTGTGAAAGATTGCTTTCTTAATTTTTTCTAAGCTTTTTTAATACGATGGCAGAAATTAGTATCTCTTCGATGCTATTTCTGCAAATGATACGTTAAAGCAAAAACTATGGATAGCTTAATCAATAAAATAACGTATTAAAAGGTAGATGTAATTTTTAAGTTTATAATAAGAAATAAACTATCTTGTTGCAGAAGTGAAATAGATTCATTTAAATCCAATTATATTTCAAATAAAGTTTATCGGTGAAGCTTTAAAACATTCGATTTATTATATTTTCATAGCATTATAAATTGTCCTGCATGCACATTCTTAAGTACAATTTGACTCGTTCTTATAACATGAGTACATGTACTTTAAGAGAAAATTAATATTATTTTACTCTTTTGTCACAAGTGAATTTTAACTTCCTTCAATATAGTAATATGAATGTAATTTCCTTATTTCATCGAGGGCCCGGGGGACCCACCAGCGGAAGTCGCTGAACACCCTGGTAGTTCGGTCCGAGGTTCGAATCCCGCGAACGGGCTGGCTGCATGGGTGTTTTCGTTGGTTTCCCCATGTGTAACGTGTATACGAGTCAGTTTCTTTTAGAATGTCCTCCACGAAGGCATCCCTCCCCTTAATCAGATATCCCTCGAGGCTGTGCCTTAATTAAATAACCTAACCTAACCTATTTTTATATTGCTTTCGTTTAAATAATTTATGTATCTATTTAAAAAATTAATACCATAAATATATACTCTTAATCTTTTAAGTAACAAATACTTTTGAACAGGTTTTTTTCATGTTTTTCTTAATATATAAAGTGAATACGAGTTAGTTTCCTTAGAGAGTCCTCCACAAAGGCATCCCTTCTCTTAAGTTGGCAGCCCTCGTATATTTTACCGTATTCACATAATTTGACCTAAACTAGGAAATATTTTTCTCTAACTCGCTAGTAAGGAATTGTTTACTTTACAAAACAACTGAAATATATATACTAAAAGTTGACTAATTTCGAAAACAATAATCAAAAATGATATAATAAATTTTAAACTATCTCAGAAATTTACATATAGAAACATTAAAAAGTTCATGTTGAAGTATAGACCGTTGAAAGTTAATAATTTAAAAAATTTCTATATAACGAAACGTGGTTATGGAGTATGTTCATTTATATGTGCTCTAGTACCACGCTAGGAATAATTTTGTGAATATTCGAAAATAGCGGAACAAAGATGAACGTCCTCCAGTTCTCAAATCAATCTTTTCACATTATCTTTTCACTTAAAACAACAAAAAGTGAATTTATCTCTAGTAACCTATTCTAATTAAATTTCTAGCACGAGACAAAAATAGGTGATTGTGATATGGCCCTTGCTTCCCACTCTTTGTATACATAAAGTTAATCTACTGCCAGTATTTCTTTTTGTTCATAGCATTTAAATTGCGCTTTTATTATTACATATTAATTATTACTGATATCATTACGAATTACTGAATCATTACGGACCTGTAGTATGGCGATTTCTACAATATGTAGTAATTGCTTCCGATTTTGCGTCTGTGTTTGTGATTTGCCGTTGTGCATTTTTCGGGTTAAAACTACGAATAATTTTATTGTTTTTCATCTTATTTGTTGTTTCCGTCTTTTTACTTAATATTTTTGGAGCTTGACGCAGAGCGCGTAGGGATCGTTGTTTAATTGCACACATATATGGAGGGAAGAGTTGCACATCTCTGCAATGATAAACGGAATACTGCAATTACGAAATAAAATGGTTGAGTGTCATCATTGCGGGAAAATAACATCCTCAAGACTCCCAGCTTACCTCTTACCCGCGCAATATCCTATTTAATAATTCTACTAGACGAATCTACGCCCGAATAGCCGAAACACCTTAATTCTGATTAACTATAGTGTTTCGAAACTGTAATTCTGAAGAAATAGCTATGGCAGAATGCCAAGGCTAAAGTTGCATTTCAGTGGATGAACACTTGATTGATCAAGGTTTCTCTAAAAGCACTTTTGGCTGTATTACTATGAACATGAGTGTCTGCAGGGCTAAAAGGTATCTTTATATGTCTATATGCATATGTCTTCCTGAGGTGAAGTTGATTAGATGCAACTACAGCTAAGAATCTGAAAGGAAGTTTTTAAATACTGAATGGCCTAATCTGCCCTTCTGTGTGGCGGTGAAATTATAAATGGTTATTATACTGGAATTGAAACTGTTTCGTTCCAACAATTTTCTCTAAACAGTTCCAGTTTTCAGGTTTTTTTTTTTTTTTTTTTGTTTTCGAATCATAGATAATAATAAGATATATTTCAGCATGATGTTCGAAAAGAAGAGGGTGGAAAAGCACGTGCGTCTGCAGTTTACTGATATCGTGTTATTTAAATACCCAGATGTGAACGGATAACGTTCTTCTCGCGGAAAGTGTCGGTGTGTATACGTACGTTGCTTCGTATAGTGATTTGTCAAAAGATCATTTATTTCACTATGTCTGAATTTGGCACTCGAGCTATTCATGCTGGACAAAACCCAGAAAAATGGAATCACAGGGCTGTCATTCCACCCATATCATTAGCAACTACATTTCAGCAATTTGCGCCAGCCCAACATGCTGTAAGTGCTATTTACTTAATACATTAGCATATGTTACTTTCAAAAATTAAAATTTTCATGCTACCACTGTGCTAATTTATCTCTGTGTATTAATCGTTTGCTTGCGTTAACCATGCAAATTTTTTTTTTTCGGATTTAAAATTAACTAAATGTATTTGTGGTACTGTTCTGTTAACGACACCGGTTTCAGAAATGTAAGCGTGTTTACACGTGTGTGTGTATATATTTGCGTATATGAGTGTGTGTATACATATGGTACATACGTTAATTTCTGAATCCTATTGTAATTTCTTTTTTTTTTTTAATGTTAGATGTTCAAAGAAGATACTTATAACTGGTGAATAAGTAAGAAGTTTAGTTTCGTAATTATTTTAATGAATAAGATCTGTAAAATTAAAAACTTAAGTATTTATTTTATTTAATATTTTTTATCAAGGAATTTAATAAAATACTAGTTTTAAAGTACTATGAAATGAGTTGATAAATATGAAAAACATAAATATATATTTTAAATTTATGTTAAAAAATAACTGAGATTGCTGTTTTATGTGTATTGCCCTCATCTGTTTATCAGGCATTTGTATTAAATTTGGTCTTTGATGAAATCATCTTACAAAGTTGAATAAGTGTTAAAATTAAGTATGTATTTAGTGGAATTAGCAAAAATTCAAATTCATTGATAATCTGATTTCTTTCCTGTTTTCCTTTTTTGTATGACTGTTTTGTTACAGACATTTTTAAATTTCTTTTTATAATCTTAAAAACTTCTAATAAGATTAGAACTGATCTTCATAATGAGATAACTAGTGATTTTTCTCGTTTAGTAACCATGCATTTAGCTGTTGTAAGTCCTGCTTAAAAGAATCCTGAAATTTTACTGATATTTAAATTTTAAGTGAAATTACAAAAACTTTATTTCCTCATGAATTTTAAATACAGTATTATTATTTAGGATTGTAAATAATTGTGTTATATTATTATTTTTTTGTTAAATAAGTAAAAATCAGCCATAAAATTCAGCAGTAATTAAGGAATTATTTCCTTTATACGAGTAAAATGACAGATATCAAGAAGAGAGGGTTTTTTTTTTTTTTTTTTTTTTTTTAAGTAGGAAAGTGGGCAATGATGGCTCTGAAAAAATGCAGACGTGTACAATAACAGGGATTTAAAAGCAGTGTGTTACCATTTGACAAAGTATGAGATATTTATCTTTCAGATTTAATCAGTGAACTCAACAATTTAAAAGAAATGCATTGCCTGTAGTTGAAATAAAATATTTTTATCTTTCATGTGCCAGGTGTATTGCCATTCAGTAAAGCATAAGATATTTAATTTTTTCTTTCAAATTTTATTTGCCTGTTATTGATTAAGAAACTATTTAAAAGCAACAAATGCTGTTCTTTATATCTGTTTGTATTAATAACTGAATGGCTCCCATGAAATTACACCATCTAGGCACATTAACCTTCTGAGCATTATTGGCTCAAATTTCAAAGTTCCTCATAATGTCATGGATAAATGATATTTTCTAGATTATAATTAACAAAAAGACTCTCCCACTCTGTAATCTTATTCCTTTTCTTCCAATATACATCTAAATTAAAATTGGGTACATCAAAAGCTGGCAGAAATTATGTATAATGAATTAGAACTCCAGCCTTCTGTATGGAATTTTCGGTCTGTAATGCTGAGATGGTTAAAATCATTATACAGATTTTTTTTAATGATAACTATTATAGACAGCTAGTAATTCAAAAGAAATATTCAAATTTATATCGAATGCTTCATTTTAAATATTTATTGGTCTATCAATGTTAATATATGATTAATGAAGGCTATCTTCAATATAATTGAATAACATTTTGTGCGATTATAAAACATTTATGATATCATATGTGGAGAAGAGAATTGCCCTTGATTGAATCCCAAATTCTGCAAGTGGTGGTTGTGGAAGCATCATTCAAACTTTTGCTAGTAGCTTACAGACAGATGCTCATTTTTTGCTTCTTTGGCTTAGGAGAAGTGTCTTTACATGGAAATACGTGGAAGTGCAGTAAGCAAAATAAATTAATAAAAAAATCTGCAAACAATTAGCTATTTATCTCCTTGTACAAAACAAAGGAAGTATCGTAATCGCGAAAAATTTTGGTTATCAGATTCCAGTGGAAATATCTATTTTGACTATTTTTTGGCATGATGTCTATACATATGCAGAAAATAAATGACTGTATTCCGAAAAAGATTGTAAAATGGATTCAAAATTGAATGATTCATGTTTTCATGATGTCTTTGCAAACATACGTAGTGGATATGTATCTCGCGTAACTCAAAAACGATTGGCCATAGAATACTGAAATTATGTATATGGAACTGTTTTAACATGTAGTTGCACACCTCACTTTTTTATTGCAATCACCAAATGTGTATAAATGTATCAAATATATATATATATAAATACATCCACTTCCCTCACCTGACTTAAACATATTTCCCCAGCCTTTATTTTTGTGATCATTGGTCATAATCATATGCAGTCAAAAGTCTTTAATGCGGACATCCATAATCCGAACCTCAAAGCTACAAACTTTCTTTGCACATGCGTAAACGCATCATGCATTTACGCATACACATAATACATTTACGCTTGCATGTTTAATGTATAACGAACGGTATAAGCTAGGCTAAAATGATCTAATTATCTATTTCAGTTAATGTTGCAGATTGCGTTGTTTTTAATTCTAATGATCCGGCTTATATTTTTGCAGACTGTTAGAGCAATTTTATAAAAAGTAAGCTTGACTTTCGATTATATCAAAAGTTTCCGATTCTGGAGCTGCCAAAGCATCTACAAAGCTGAGAGCATGTTTGATGTAAAGCTTCCGATAGTGAAGAAGTGACAGAGGGTTATGAAAACAAAAAATTTCGATTGACAAAGTTAGTGGTATTCTCCACACAGCAATTACAGGACTTGAACAGTGGAACTTTGTAACTGAACAAGAAATTATGTCTGTTTATAGAATTAAAAAGAAAGTATTAGCACACAAAAAACAAAGCAACTTAAAACAACTTACATTGAAAGAAATGTTTAATAAAGTAAACAAATAAATAGTAAGCTGCTTTTTTTTAAAATTAATAAATTTTGATACCCTTTAGATCATAATTTGCTCTTTATTTCATAAATACGATTTCATATTTTTTGTATGATTTTCTACATGCCATCTTACTAATTTAAACTGATGATCTTAATCGTAATCGTCGAAGTCCGACGAGTCCGGATTAAAGATTTTGAGTCCCATTATAAAGTTTAAATGATGAAAATATTCAATTTTGGCAATGTCAAATTACAAAATTTAAAAAAAAAATTATTAATTTTAAAAACAAATAATGAAATTTAACTTCAAATGTAGTTTCCTGGTTCCTGTACTTATAACTGGGAATATTTGATACTCATTATGAAAAAAATATAAATGCAAGAAGTTTGACTTTCATGCGAGAGAAATTAACTTGGATATTCAGTTTCAAAATTTGCAGTTTTTATTTCATTTTCAACTTAGTTTGAAGAGTCAGCTAATAAAGTTAGAATAATGGAGGAAATAAGTGTAATTGAAGTGCAGACAAAAATGTGTAATAATTTAATAGGCCGTACAAGGAAGTCATGATGTCAAAATTAGTTTTTTTTTTTTTGAATTTGTATATTAAAAATTATTCACCAATCAGTAGTAAATTTAAATATATGCTTATAAATACGCCCTTTGCAAAAAAATCAAAGCACCATGAAGGAAGTGGTTGTTTTTGATGAAATTGAATATGTGTATACACAGATAATAAAATGATTAAAAAATCAAGGTCATAGTACCTGTTCACGACTCACAACTAACCTATGAGTGTTCAAATTAGTTGGTCGAATTGCCCCTAGCAGCAATGCAATGCATTCATCGAAGCAAGGAGTGGTAGAGGTTCCTAATGTCATCCTGAGACACTTTCTGCCAGGCATTCATCAGTTGTCACTCCAGATCTGCTATATTTTATGGTGTCCAAATCTGTTGGCTTAGCATGTCCCAGACATGCTGGATTGGTGAAAGGTGTGGTGACCTTGCTGACCAAGGAAGAGTATCAACTGCACGGAGACAGTCCACACATATGCGAGTGGTATGTGGCCTGGCATTATCTTGTTGAAAAATGGCCCCAGGATGAAGTGCCATGAATGTTAATACAACCGGCCGCAGGATGGTATCAACATATCGTTGAGCAGTTAAAAGTGTACGCAGGATGACTAAAGATGACCTGCTGTCATAAGAAATAGCGCCCCACACCATCACACCAGAGCTTATGGCTTACCGCTGGTCCCGTCCTCTCCAGACACGAATACGGTGGTCATCTGCTTCAAGAGTGAAGCGGGATTCATCGCTGAACACTACACAATGCCAGTTTGATGACAGCCAAAATGATAGGCTGCAACACCACTCCAGACGACTACGCCGATCTTGTGGGGTCAGAGGCAAACATCTTAAAGGTCTCTGTGAGCGTAATCCCACCTCAGAAGTGCAGGGAGATGGTGGACAGTACCAGTCTGATAGCAGCCATGAGGAACAGCTGTGACACCACTCCAGATGACTCCATTGAGGTTGTGGCATTAAAGGCAAATGTCTTAAAGGCCTCTGCGAGCGTAACTCCACCTCAGACAAGCGTTGTGAGATGGTGGACGGTACCATGGGAGGTATAGACATGGCTGTAGTGCATTGAATAGTTGACAATGATACCATTGGGGCAGTTTGGGCCTGGCGATCAATCATCCTATCTTGCCTCGCATTTGTGCTCCTTGGCCTTCCAGAGTCTTTATTTCATCAGCAATTTCCTTGTAGCAACCATCGCTGCCAACATCTTTGCATCGCAGTATCTGTACGCTGCAGGTGGCGGCCTATTGCTCGGTGTGACCACCCAGCTTCGTGCAACTCTACAGCGCGACCATTTTTGAAGTCACTTAGTTGTCTGTAAGGTCTTCAATATCGCTATAATGTCATCTTTAATTGCTTCTTTACGGAATTACTTTGACAGCAACAAAAAAGATAAAGTTTCTGCCTCTGTTACTGGTTTTATACTTTTCAAATTGTGCACTAGAAATGCGTGCTATGATCGCAGTTCCTGTTCATTTGCCTTGAAATTTTTTGATCATTTGCGTATTCGATCAAGATGTTTTTGTAAACCAAATTTTGTCACGATCGCTAAAGTCGTGGTGCTTCAATTTTTTTGCAAAAGAGATTTCGTGATTTGTTTTCTTTGACTAGAAAGCTTCCAGGATTTTAACAGATGGATTATATGTTGTAATTTGATATGTTTGGGATGTGAATTGGAAATTCATTTAAAGTTAGGGTTTGTTTATAGAAACAGTAAATAGACAGCGTGCATAATATCTAATTCTCATAAAATTTATTAAATTTAAATATATTTCAGATGCTCTTTAATAGATCTGAAATATATTTCGGAACTCAAGCTGCGATTCATGTAATATAAAATTTCTTCTGTCATGTTCTATATTTACATTTTTGTCTGAAATTTTTCTCCTGGATTCTCAAGTGATCTGTTCTTTTGCCATTTAACAAAGATGTGGTTTTAGCTAACAGTTTATTTTTCATAGGGTTTTGAGTACTCTAGAAGTGGAAATCCAACTAGACAATCCTTAGAAGAATGTTTGGCATCACTAGAAAGTGCAAAATATGGTGAGATTAATTATATTAACACGTTCTTGTTGCTTATCACATTTTTGACCACATAATAAAATCTTTTTATTAGCAGGTTATGTGTTCCAAGAATTATCCTGGTTATGTGAAACTGTGGATAATGGCAAATGTTATATGGTACGAAGTCTGAATCTAGATTCGTTGGGGGTTTGGTGATTCCAGACTTCAGAATTTTCTTGATTTTAGATCATCAGTTTCCTGGTTTTTATATCATCAGTTGTAAGTTATTTCACAAGCTGCCATAAATGGGTAGTCGTGTGGTATATGGCCAGTGTTTGACAAAAGCAAACAATGAGTTATCAGGTTGACACCGGAGGTATAAGTTCTGCCGTAGGTTTAAAATCAGTGATGAACTGATAGTGTTTTGGTTTGAGACACATGCCAAACAAAGTGGCAGCTATGGTACCAAATTATTAATCCTACAGATTTAGGCTAATAAATGACTGTTTTTTTTCAACATGATTGTGTTTTATTTAGTGCCAAAGGGAAATTAAGAATCCATTAAGATACTTCATTATGAAAAATTGTGTACTGCACATTCGTGAAGCATTAAGCATGTGCTAAAGAGATGTGCTATTCTCAAAATCTAATTCTTTCTCCCTTTTCACAAAAAAATTTGGTGGTCTGGAGGTGTAATTATTGGATGCTGTCATTTTGTGCTTTTTACTGCATATATTAAACAAGATTTAATGATAAAATTATGCCTAAGTTGAATGGATAAATTATGTAAGTAAAACATTATCAATGTTAAATAAAGTATTCAGCACATTATGATATATTATATTGTATGCTATAAAATATAGGTATGTAAAATATGTGACAAAAGAGAATATGCTGTCTTTTGTACCTCTGAAACTAAGGGATTCTGACATTTTAACTTGATCTGCAAAACATAAGAATGAAATTTGGAAATATAGAATTTATATTGTACAATAAAATATATTGTTTTAAAACACAATAGAAGTCAGAATCATTCGTTTTCCTACTAAATATAGAACACTATTAGTTTCCAAACCTTTTGTAGCATCATTGGGCATACATTTGGGAGACCTTACTTAGATAAATTAAAACTTTAAGGGGAAGAGAACTATGATGTTGCATCCTAATAAAATACACTAAACTCTAAAACCAAGAGTGAAAGAAATGTTAAAAAGAATTGTTAGTGGAGAAAATAATCAAATTCCCTCAGACCACTGATAGCTGAGACTGCTTACTTACATCTTTATGACCTTCATATTGGAGAGTACATTCATAGTTTGAGGGATTTCTTGCAATATACAAAAGTTTTTGTAATGAGACATATTTAGTACAGTGGAACAGTGTTGGCCATGTTTGAGATGCTATATTTTGGCTGCGCTACAGACTGTTGTCACTTTGCTTGTATTTTGAAATTTGCAAAACTTTAGGCATTTTATTTCTTTGCACCTTTAAACTGCCATGCTTGAGTCAGTGGATATGAAATTTGACTGTTTAGTGTGGGATTTGACTGTTAGATATCTCAAATTAATCATTTATAATAGATTTTAATGTATTCAAGTACACCTGCAACTGTGATTCCTTAAGGGATGTAAATAAAAAATTATTTCTAGTGAAATATTTTTGTCTTTTATGATATTGGGATTCAAAATGTGTGTGACCTTTTTCTCCATCCTGTAATACTTTTATCAGCTACACTACCTAAGAGGCTCTTAGTTAAGAGAAGAACTTCATAGTTTCAAGAGGAAAATGTAGTTATTTATTTATTTAGTTTTAATTCGTGACTATAAAACTATTTTTATTCAAGTTTTGGTATTTATCCAACATTTTCTATAATTTTTTGTTGTTCAATTTTTAAAACATTTTAAGAAAATAATATAAATCTGAATAAATGTAAATATGTGTTTCTCAGATTTTGGAAAGGAGGATCTTCTAGCAATGCTAAAAGGCATGGATATGATAAAACAGGTTGAGAACCATTGACCTAAGAGAGTGATCACTAAGCAATTTTCCATACAAGCTTTTTAGGTACTTTTCTGTTATGCGCCTGCCTCGCTTTTTGGGCCTTTCTGAAAGAGAAGTCAAACACATGCCCAAGATAGCACCATGTGGGGACTCTGTCCGTGTCTGTGTGGCAAGTGCGTAATGGAAAAGTACCACTCTTTACTAAGAATTATTAATATCTGTCTTATATATTATATTATTATCTATAAGACAACACTGCAGAAAAGTACCACTGTTTACTAAGCATTATTAATATCTAATTAGTATCACTCTTTACTAAGAATTATTAATATTATCAATATCTAATGCAATTATTATTTTTTACTGAATCACTTAATGGAATTCAGAAGTCAAACAACAAAAATCAGCGTTAATTCACAAAATTTTCACAGGACTAGTTTCGATGGTTTTACCGAACCATCATCTTCAGCTGCAAAACCGCAAATGAACAAGATAGGAAATAATGTTTAGATAAGATAAGAAAGCCTGGACAAGAATAAGCAAGTGGCGCCATCTGTTGGCGAAACCAGAACTAAAACATAATTTCTCTAAAAGCCGAAGGCAAAATTTGGATTGGAATTAGGATCGTTAAACTAGAACAGAAAGATTTTTATGAATGTGAAATGCCTCTAGAAAATCCAGTTCTCCAATGGAAGATGTTTTTTGAATAATTTTGGCAGCAGAAAAATTGAAAGTGTGATTTTCGGACCAACAATGTTGAGCAACAGAAGACTTCTGTGTTTCCTTTTTTCTAACATATGCCTCATGTTCTTTGACGCGAAATTTTAAGGCTCTCTTAGTTTGGCCAATGTAAATTAAACCGCACTGGCAAGGAATCCTATAAATACCCCAGGAATTCATATCCGGAATGGGGTCCTTGAGTATGGAAGTTGGAATTTTATTGATGGGAGAGTAAACAACCCGAAAGTTAAATTTCTGCAAAATATGTGCAACTTTATAGCTAATTGATGGAAAGAAGGGAATGACAACAGAATTTTTATAATCTCCTAAAATAAGAGTGTGGCTTTTAGTGTGTTGAGATGAGAATTTTTTAACTGCTTGATTAATAATGTTGGGTGAAAAGCCCCTGTCAATAGCTATTGCTTTTAAATAATTTAGTTCTTCATCAAGGGCTAGTTTGGAGGAGCAAACTTTGAAGAGCACGGAAAACATAGGAATAAAATGAAGCTAACTTTTGTTTAGTCGGATGACATGATTTAAAGTGTGGTGGAAGGCAAACCGATGAAGGTTTACGGTAAACTGTAGTACTGAAGTTGGATGTGTTGCGTGTGACCAGAATGTCGAGAAACGGAAGAGAATTGCAAGTCTCAAGTTCAAAAGTGAACTGAATAGCAGGATCAATAGAATTCATTGTTGAAAGAACTCTATTTAAATCATCTTTATTACCTTCAAACAGGGTAAAAGTATCGTCTACGTAGCGGAACCCATGCCGGGAAGTTTAAAGTTTCAAACAATTTTGATTCATAATAATGCATGTAGATATCAGCCAGGATGGGACTGAGGGGGCTTCCCATGGCTAATCCCTCAGTTTGCTTGTAATATTTATTTTGGAAAACAAAATGTGTTTGTTTCAAACAGAGTTGAGTGAGAGAAATTAGCTCATCAATTTCGATGCAAGAGAAATGAAATTCGCGAAGTCTGGTTTCTAGACATCTTAATGCACCCTCCACTGGGACATTGGTGAATAATGATTTTACATCAAAAGAAACCATGAGTAAATTACGAGGAGAAATGTTTTTAACCTTTTTTTACAAACTCTATTGAATTTTTATGGTGTAAATGTTATTGTCTAATAGAGTGGAAAAAATCTAGAAACTAAATATTTAGCTAATGGATACGAGGCAGTACCTAAATTTGATACAATAGGGCGGCGGAAAGGAATACCACTTTTATGAAATTTTGGGAAGAGCATATAATCTGGCACAATTCGCAACAGATGGGATAAGCGAATGTTTTAAGTTGCTTGAAATGATTTGCGAAGATTTGATCGCAGTTTTTATTTTGGATAAGTCCGAAGGTGAAGGATCTTTAGGGATCGGATTATATGGTCCTTCGTTTTAAGAGTTTAGTGACACCATCGATGTAAGTGTTCTATCCATGACGACTATCTGGCCACCTTTGTCGGCCTTTAAATGACAATATCCGGGTTAGAATGAATCTCGCGCATTGTAGCTCTTTCTCTCGCAGTTAGATTTGGTTTCAAAGGTTTATTATTGAATTTCACATTATGAGCGATAAGATGCCTAATCATTTCTTTCTGTGAATCTGAAACTTTACTGAACTTGAAAGCTTTTTCGATAGGAGCCAAAATCTTTGGAATCGAGGGTTTACAGGTTTGTGAGAAGTTAAAATTATATTTTAGAATTCTCTCTTGTTCTTCTGAAAGACTAACATTAGAAATATTAACTATTGGCTTGATGTTTACAATGGGAAGATTTTTTGAACTACTTGAACTGGAAGACTGTAAAAGAAGTTTTTCGAATTTAACTGCAAGGGTGTTTTTATGACGGTTAACTGCATTCTCCGTTCTAGACCAAGACTTTTGTTCAAGGGCAGTGAATTTTGGATATGTTTTAGCGAGTTCCAGATGAAGCTTATAGAGTTCATGTTCAATTTTGGACAATTGTTGACGTGTATCCCTTATCACGGACCGAAGTAAGGCAAGTTTGCAAGAAACCAGACTTCGCGAATTTCATTTCTCTTGCATCGAAATTGATGAGCTAATTTCTCTCACTCAACTCTGTTTGAAACAAACACATTTTGTTTTCCAAAATAAATATTACAAGCAAACTGAGGGATTAGCCATGGGAAGCCCCCTCAGTCCCATCCTGGCTGATATCTACATGCATTATTATGAATCAAAATTGTTTGAAACTTTAAACTTCCCGGCATAGTTCCGCTACGTAGACGATACTTTTACCCTGTTTGAAGGTAATAATAAAGATGATTTAAATAGAGTTCTTTCAACAATGAATTCTATTGATCCTGCTATTCAGTTCACTTTTGAACTTGAGACTTGCAATTCTCTTCCGTTTCTCGCGACATTCTGGTCACACGTAACACATCCAACTTCAGTACTACAGTTTACCGTAAACCTTCATCGGTTTGCCTTCCACCACACTTTAAATCATGTCATCCGACTAAACAAAAGTTAGCTTCATTTTATTCCTATGTTTTCCGTGCTCTTTAAGTTTGCTCCTCCAAACTAGCCCTTGATGAAGAACTAAATTATTTAAAAGCAATAGCTATTGACAGGGGCTTTTCACCCAACATTATTAATCAAGCAGTTAGAAAATTCTCATCTCAACACACTAAAAAGCCACACTCTTATTTTAGGAGATTATAAAAATTCTGTTGTCATTCCCTTCTTTTCCATCAATTAGCTATAAAGTTGCACATATTTTGCAGAAATTTAAGAAATTTAACTTTCGGGTTGTTTACTCTCCCATCAATAAAATTCCAACTTCTTATACTCAAGGACCCCATTCCGGATATGAATTCCTGGGGTATTTATAGGATTCCTTGCCAGTGCGGTTTTAATTTACATTGGCCAAACTAAGAGAGCCTTAAAATTTCGCGTCAAAGAACATGAGGCATATGTTAGAAAAAAGGAAACACAGAAGTCTTCTGTTGCTCAACATTGTTTGGTCCGAAAATCACACTTTCAATTTTTCTGCTGCCAAAATTATTCAAAAAACATCTTCCATTGGAGAACTGGATTTTCTAGAGGCATTTCACATTCATAAAAATCTTTCCTGTTCTAGTTAACGATCCTAATTCCAATCCAAATTTGCCTTCGGCTTTTAGAGAAATTATGTTTTAGTTCTGGTTTCGCCAACAGATGGCGCCACTTGCTTATTCTTGTCCAGGCTTTCTTATCTTATCTAAACATTATTTCCTATCTTGTTCATTTGCGGTTTTGCAGCTGAAGATGATGGTTCGGTAAAACCATCGAAACTAGTCCTGTGAAAATTTTGTGAATTAACGCTGATTTTTGTTGTTTGACTTCTGAATCAGTATTTATTCGGCGTGTTATTGTGTCTTAATCACTTAATGGAAGTTCGCACATGTTAATTTGAACATATTACTAGTTGTAGGCATTTGTCGATACAAAACTTTGTCAAGCCTTATTTTGTTAGTTTTTGGGCAAACTTAGGTTGTCTAGTTACTTTTTACCTCGGAAGCATAAATTACTGTTGTATTTCTACAGAGAAATTTTTTTATGTCGAAGATCAGCTCAAAAGTAAAGTTAGTTGAAAAAATTATAAAGTATTGAAAAAAACTAGACATATTTATTGAGTCACCCTGTTACCATGGTGTTAGTGAAACCATCTGCCTTGGGTCTGCTAAACCAAAAATTACTTTCATATAACTGAGTATGTTGCAACTTTCAAGATGTATAAAATTCTAGTTTGTTAATTCTTTATATACAGTCAAAAGTCGTTAATCCGGACTCGTCGGGACTTCAGCGTTTCCGGATTATCGATTTTTCCGGATTATAGATCATCAGTTTAAATCTGGTAAGATGGCATGCAGAAATTATAAAATTAAAAATATGAAACCGTAATTTATGAAACAATTATGAAGGGTATCAAAATTTACAAAAAAAAAAAGCTTAATATTTATTTGTTTACTTTATTAAACATTTCTTTCAATGTAAGTTGTTTAAGTTGCTTCGTTTTTTATGTGATAATACATTCTCTTTAATTCTATAAAAACAGACATAATTTCTTGTTCAGTTACAAAGTTCCTGCTGTTTCAAGTCCTATAATTGCTGTGTCTAGAATACCGACTAATTTGCCAATCGAAATTTTTTCATTTTCAATAACCTCTGTCACTTTCTTCGCTATCGGAAGCAAATTATAATGACAAGGAATTTGATTTAAATCATATCAAAGACGGAGTACATCGAGATGAAATACTACATTTAGTAAGGAATTATAAGCCAAATAAAATAAAAACATCTGCCCTGAAGATAAGGATAGTGCTGACAGATCAAGTTCCAATTCATTGTGCGCTCGCCGCGGCATTAAAGATAAACAAACGTTAAAGTTTAGATAAACAAAGGATATTCCTTTATCCATTTTTTTGCAGCAATTCCACTTTTTGTTTAATGGACTTCGAAAACATACTTTCGCTTTGTAGATCCTTTACATATTAGTAAATATATATCAGAAATTCTATTTGACATAATCGAAAGTTCAAGCTTACTTTTATAAAATTGCTCTAACAGTCTGCAAAAAATAATAAGCCGGATCCAATTCGAAGATTAAGGAACAACGCAATCTGCAACATTAACTGAAATAGATAATTAGATAATTTTAGCTTAGCTTATACCGTCCGTTATACATTAAACGCGCACTCGTAAACGTATTTTGCGCATGTGCACAAGCATATTTGCGGCCGTAAAGGTCTTACACGTATGCGTCAAAGCGACGCATGCGCAGAAAGTTTGTAGCTTTGAGGTCCGGATTATAGATCATTCCGGATTATGGGTGTCCAAATTAACGACTTTTGACTGTATAACTTATATTTTTGTACCTTACCAGTTAAGTTTTTTATAGGTGTTTTCCAAAATTGTTTTATTTAGCTGTAAGTTGTCAGTCTTTAGAATTATTGTTATTAATATTTAGAATTATTGTTATTAATATTTAGAATTATTATTACTATTTTTTTTTCTTTTCAGCTCTATGCTTTGCTTCGGGATTAGCAACAACATTAAGTCTAATACATCTGTTACAGTCTGGGGAACATGTTGTATGTTTTGATGATCTTTATGGAGGTAATATGCAATCACATCTTGATTTTTTTTCATGCTATTCAAGTAGAATATGTTATATGTAGTAAAGAAACTGATTTTCTTAGTTTTATTTTAAATGTTAACATAGTTATTGGTAGAAGAGTGACTACTGGTTAAAACTCAGTTTACTATTTAGATTCCTTGCACATTGTTAATTTAGTTAGTAACCTAGGATATTCACACTTTGCTGATAAAGTAAATAAATTGTGGTACTATACCATTTTAGGGACAGTAAAAAATTGCAGCAAAAATATATGCACGAGAGGTGCCAAATCTAACTAACATGCCGAAGTGTGTAAATTTAGATAGTTCTATATTTATAAGTTGCCATTTAATTTTTAAATTTTTTTCTAACAACGATATGGATTTAAGAATTTGGGAATTGCCCAATGACGAAAAGTCTACAGTAGAATTTTTTCAAAGAACAGGCATCATTCATGACAGAAAATTATGTTCAAACAACCACAAGATGAAATAATGCTTTAGTGGTAACTCAGTAGTGAAATGGCTGTGCAGGAAAGAAACCAGTAATGAGAAGAAAGGATTAAGAAGTCAAAATTGGTTCGAAGGATCGAAAATCCCCTTCCTTACAACCATTAGGTTCATTTATTTTTATTATCAGGAGATGACATCTGTTGAATTTTGTGAACTCCAGTTGAAGATGAACCACAATACAACTGTAGACTGGAACAGTTACATGCTTGAGGTGTGTGCCGCAACTTTATTTACTCGGCCTAACTTGAAAATCAGCGGATGGGGCAAAATTATTGAAGTAGATGAAAGCCTTTTCAATTTAAGAAAGAATAACGCTGGACGGGTTTTTCCGCCACAATTTTGTTATCGGTGGATTATGCAGACAATTGAATGAATGTTTCTTCTTAATCGCTGTTCAGAATGATTGACGAAAACTTTATTGAATGTCATAAAAGAAAATATTGCAGAAGGAAGCATATTTTTTATCCTGACTGCTGGAAATTATACAAGTCTGACTGCTGGAAATTATACAAGTCGGATGAACTGCAAAATCTCGGTTTTGAACATTTTACTGTCAATCACAACTACAATTTTGTGAACCCCCGAAAGTGAGTGTCATAGACAAACAGTAGAGTGGCTGTGGGGCAGTGCTAAATGGCATAATAAGTTGCACTGCTCGACAGCATTTCAATTATTATTTGTCCGAGTTTATGTACAGATGCTCACACAAAAAAACTGAAATATTCTCTGCTATGATGGAAGACATAACTGAAATTAAATTGGATATATAATTTTTTTATGTTAGCCTTTTGTTTATAAATTATAATAACAAAAAATGTATTTTCATGAAATTAACCTTTCATGTAAACTAAAACAATAATCTTAGATAGTTATTTACTATTATGTGTCCTTTCTTGCATTAGGGTTAACGTAATTATTTTTGGCAGCATTGGCATCAACAGTAGTTTGGCGATTTTTTACGGCCCTTATAACAGGAATTGTACCTAAATTGTTTGTTTTTGTGCAATTTGATACTTGAAGTCGGTCATCTATTTCATAATTATATTTCATAATTCAATCACACAAAGAAAAAATTTAACTAAAATGTTTGTCATTATAAATAAATTTGGGTACTTTTCCATTTTGCCGGCGCAAGCGATAAAGTCGCCAAAAATGCTACAACCGATACCAAACAGAAATCCTTGTTGGTAACCTTTTGTGCCTCATTTTCAAAACAAGTCACAGCCATTTCATATCAGATTGTTTGCTTCTTTCAATACTGGCATACAGTTACATAGAATTTTTACCAGATAGCTCAATTATGGCTTAAGATCTCAATTATGCCTCAGCAATTTTATGCCCTAAGACCATTCGCGGTAATTAAGTCAATTAGGATGCAATCCCACTGCTCATCCAAAGGTGAAAATATAGAAAAGGCGAAGTCAAGGGTTAAATTCATCATTTCTAATGAGAATGCACTATCAAAGTAAAGCACTGTGGTTTTACATAATTTCTGAGTAAGCTATTCGTACGAATTGAAATGATTCTTGCATATAAACTTGTATTCCAAATCAAGATTTAACTTGAAATTGATGTAGATAATTACTGACAGAATTAGACTTTTGTAGCATAGTTTACACGAGATGAGATCACTTGGGGTCGGGTGATATGAAATGGCGAATCAGGATGTTGTACCATTAAAGCGCAGTTATTCTTAAATTAATGTCTTTTTACAAATTTATGGTCTTTATTTATTGTCTTTTTACTAAATTTTAAATGATATTAGAAAGTTTATGTCTTCAAAATAAAAATTTTTTAGAACTAACATTTGTTAAAATTTTTTATATGTATACTGTGTGTTGTCGCCAATAAAGTCTGCTTGGCGAGACTCGCACCGGCGAAACAGAAAAGTACCTAAATTTCTTTATTACATGATACTGATTTTCATTTAATGTGATGTTAATAATTTTTTAATAGCAAACAGTAATAATTATAAATTAAAAAGCCGATTTAAATTTAAATGCAATTTGTAGTTTTTTATCAGCATATGCTGATAAGTTGTCAAATAGTACACGTGAAACTTGATAAGTTTTGGATCGGTCAGCAGGGATATAAACAATAATGTGGTTAATCTTTGGATTATGGTAACTTAACGATTTTTTGGCGAAAATTTGGTGACCAACCCTGTTACAGCACCCTGCTAGTTTTTTTTTTTTTTTTTTTTTGGACTCCATTTTGTTTTCACGAAGTAAAGGCATTTTTTTTTTACTCAACATTTTTTCTCAACAATCTGCTAGCCGAATTACGCTTATGCTAGAACTTTTATGGAACAAAAATGCTTAATCATGACGAAGATTAGGTGCGAAATTCGGAGAAAGTGCAGAATCGCCCACTGCTTGCGGCGTTTTAAAGAATTTCACACACACGGTATCCATGTGCATGTCGACCTATTTTCACTTAAAAAAAATATCCCAGAATTGCACAAAAATGGCATTGCGCACACTCTTGACTTTATCCATGTACACTGCTAAAGTTCTAGCTAGTAACCTTTATCGCCTTACCAAAATGTCACCAAACTACCTGTTACCATATTCCAAAGATTAGCCCAATAAGGTTTTATCGTAGAACTAACAAGTACAAGTAACCCTCATATAGCATGGTAGACAGGTTCCTACAAAATGCTGTGTTGTGTCAAACTGTGTTGTACGATACCCAGAGCTAGTATAAAAAGAGGGGTTATGTTCCAAGAACTTATTAAAAATATTTTTTAAAATTATACATAAACAACTTAATTTTTATTAAAATTATATATGTATGTACAATACAAAACATGAAATATTACATATTTTAATATAACACAACTTTAGTTTAATAAATTTCTTCGTTGTCATTGGTCACTATAATCAACAGAGAACATTTCTTCGGTGGAACGAGATTGCTTTTACTTTCAAAATTTCTTTCTTCATTTAAAGTTCTGCCATTTTCTTCCCTCTTTAAAAAATCTGTAATTTTACTTTGCTTACTAGTTCTTACCGGGCCATTATAAATTTCTCGATACAGAGCTAGACAGTTTTGCTGCTCCCTTTTGAATTTTCTGATTATTTCTGTGGAAAGGTCTGCACTCAAGAAAAATAACTCGAGATTTTCAGCTAAGCATAGGGCTTGGTTTAATTTTTTTAATGTTAAATTATTAACTCCACAATCTTCATCAGTGGTAGTATCTCAGAATTGATTTGATTTACAGCTTCGGATGCCATTTCTATCAAATCTTCTTCTTTTGCTAATAAATCTTGAATGCCATCTATAGCCATGTTCACAAAACCTTTGCCTCCAATTGATTTAGCAAGTTTTAATATGCCACCAATTTCATTTTCTGACAATTCGTGCATGTTTTCTATTTCAACTAAAGAGGACCATATCTTCTTCTACCATACATTTAACATTGATGCTTTCAGTGACAAAGATTCTGATTCAGTTCTTGATTGAAAATGTCTTCCAAGCTTCCATTAAATTAAATGATTTTGAATCATTACGTCTAAAATTTACTCTAATGCTCTTCTTACGTAATATATTTTAAAGGTATAAATAATGCCTTGTTCCAATGGTTGGAATAACAAAGTAGTGTTAGATGGTAGGAATAGTTTTTTGACATTGGGATGATTAAAATCTTGTGGGTGACATGGAGCATTATCTAATAGTAGTAAGCGCCTCGAAGCTCAAATTTTTCTGCCTTAACCCTTTGCGGCACAGTGTGTCCGGTTTGGATACGCCTAAAAATTTTCATCTTTATGTGCAGAAAAATTGTTTGAGAAAGGATTTATAGGTTACTATAGGTTACTCTGAACCTTCTTTATTTATAGTAGATGGCAGCTCAACACAAATCAGTCCATATATTTTAGCCATGTTTAGTTTTTAAGACCCTCATTTTTCAAAGAAATCTTCCAGATTTTTTTAGGGTATAAAAGGAATTATTTGAAAAGAAATTTCCATGTTATTTTTTTGGCTGTATGCTAATCTCCTTATTCTATTATTAGTTTTAAATTTTTACCTTGAAATCTTGCTTAAAATCAAACGGGAAACCCTAGGTGTGCCCAGACCGGGCTCATCAATAATCTAGGACAACTGAGAGTCTGTATTCTATGTTTCTCCGCATCTCATCGGTCAGTTCATTGACAACAATGCTCGTTTCATCACTCTTTTTGAAGCTCTATTCAATCAGTTTGCCCACTTTGGGCACAATCACAGAATTAAAATGATAAGCACTATCTTCACAGAATTTTACTTGTGTACTCCTCTAGGCCTAATTAGACTGCCTACCTTTTTTTTTTTAATCAAAACTCCCAACTTTAAAAGGTAGAGTGCCAGAAAGGGTTAAATAACGTTCAGTGTCTGGCACAAAATAATTAAAAACCAGTCTTTAAATATATTCCCAGCTACCCAAGCTCTTGGATTTGCTTTCCAATATAACCGGTAAGGTGTTTTTTTTTATGCCTTTAAGTGCACGAGTA